TACCGCTGAAATCTCCATCTCCTCCGTCAGTGTCTCCCCTGTTGGGCCCAGACAGGGGACTCCCGCAAGGCGGAAGCAATCAGACAGGAGGTACACAGGGTACATCAGCCCAGGCTTTTACCCAAATGTGTTTGTAGTACCAAATCTACAAGTGGCGGTCGTCCAGTTCTGGACCTAGGCAGACTGAATCAGTACATGCTCCTCGATCGGTTCCACCATTTTTGACTGGCTAGCCCCACTAGACTTAAGCGGGGCCTACCTGCACATACCGATGCACCCAGCGAGTTGCCATCTCCTTCGAATTTCGGGAACTAGATAGGCGGGTTTTGATCTGGGACCAAGTGAAGGAAGCCCTGCCCTGGTGGCTGTCACTGGCCAACCTCGAACAGGGGCCCCCTTGGACCCGCTGCAGGTATGACACTGGTAACTGATGCCTCCTCCCAAAGTTGGGGAGCGCATCTATTGGACGAACAAGCCCAAGGATATTGACCCCGCATTAGTTTCGGGACTACCATATCAACCGACTCAAACTGTGAGCAGTATACTTAGCACTACCACGCTTTCTACCCGTAGTTCAAGACCACAGAGTCCTGCTCCGCACAGACAACGCAGCGGTGGTCTCCTTCAAGAAGGAGGGGGGGGCGTTTCTCATCGATGTCAGTCCTAGCGGAGCAAATCCTCTTTTGGTGCCTGGAATACAATGTGGAGCTAACCGCACACCACCTTCCAGAGGTGAGGAACAGTCTGGCAGACGCCCATTCAGGGTGGCTCCGTCTCCAGAACACGGGGTGGCTGATACAAGCCTCCAGGCTGTTTCGGCTGTGGGACGGTCCAAGGTTAGACCGGTTTGCCGCACCCCGGAACGCCAAGTGTCCAACGTACGTAGTACTCCTGCCCACTCCAGGAGCCCGGGCCAGGGTCGCTTTGCTAACCCCGTGGACCCACTTGTGTATGCCTTTCCTCCCTCCCCACTAGTTTACCGGGCACTGGAGAAAACTTCGACAGGTGCACACCTGCATATTATCATTGGTTGCACCCAATTGGCCAAACAAGGTCTAGTTTCCACTTCTGTCGGAAATGCTAGTAGAAACACCAGTAGTGCTTCCGGACTTACCGGACCTGCTGTCCCAACCAAACTGCGCACTACCAACGAGCCCAGCGGGTATCACTTACACGCATAGAGGCTCTTATTAGACCCGCACATACGAAAGCTTTATCTGAGCAGGCTGCCAACGTCCTGGCCAGGGCGAACAGGGATATATTTCTAGGCTGCGAGCATACACTGATTGGTGTAGCGGAAGGGAGATTGATCCATACCATCCCTTTATTGGCCAGGTAGCAGGCTCCTTCGTCCACCTGTTTGACGAAGTGGGTTTGTCCTACTCAGCTATCTTTGGCTACAGGTCGGCCTTGTTCCCCACCATTGAGAACGTACAGGAACAAGACTAGCTGATTGTTCCTATTATTAGGACTATTTACTGCCTTCCAGACGCCGAGACCCCATACAAGGGAACCGCCCAACTGGGACTTGTTGACTGTGTTGTCCGCTTTAAGCAGACCACCCTTTGAGCCTCTCTGATCAGCACCATTCAAATTTTTTGACGTGGAAAATAGTCTTCCTACTGGCCCTCACTTCAAGTAGGCATCGGCCAGAGCTGGAGACATTGTCCTCCTTGGATGATGTGCCGTCGTTATGGACAATCAAGTTGTGCTAAAGACACGAATCTGGTTTCTCGCCTAGAACCAAATCCCAGGACACGATCCTCACCTGATCGTCATCTCCCTGCTGTCAAATTTTGTCTGTCCGGAGGGTCAGGAGGAATTGCTTCTCTGCCCGGTTCGAGCACGGAGTTGCTACCAAACCGTACTAAGGATTCAGAACGGGATGCCAGGCACATGTCTTTGTGTTACGACCCAGGCAGGCAGGATAGGCCGGCCTCCCCAACTTCCATAACCAGGTGGTTTACTGCGACTGTATTAGAAGTCTATACCGTAAAAATCATATTTGAGGCCGCAGCTTTAATAGTAGCCGCACTCCTAACTTGAGACATTGTTTCATGTTGAAATTGACAAGTTTTGATCACAGGAAAAAGACTGCAATATAAGCCGCACCCCAAACTTTCACAAATCAAACAGCCACCACATATTTCAGAAAAAGATATACCATATATTTTTAAATTAAGGCATAATTTTTCGAACATCTAATTTAGGTTTTCCGTAGTCATTGACGCTTATTCCAGAGTACAGGTTTATTGTTGGTAGCGTAAATGGGTAAACTGCGTTTCGACAATGAGCTGTTATTATCGTCAAAAGTGTTAAATTCTTCTTCAATGCTCAGCTTATCTTTCGAAAACAACTAATTTCTTGATTTAAAAAAAAATCATGCCGTTTTCCCATCAAAATCAAAGCCGCACTACAACAACGGTAAATCTCTTCCATGTTTCATTTACCATGAGATCTGCATATTTAAATGAGCTATGGTAATTTAATCACGTTGGCACCATCCAGCATTTCAATTGGTTAATTAGCGACTTGACCTATCAGGTCAAATAACAGTTTCAAGTCACTAAAGATGTTTGAACAAACATGGCGGATATCGTATCAGATCGGCGTTTATATGTGACCGAAATCATTCGCTTGTGGTGAAACTAAGTTGAATTTTCACAACAATTCAACGAATTTATTTTTTGTACGTTATTGTAATCACTACTGAGTAATAATCAGCAATTGTAACACTTTGAAAACAAGTAAGTTATTCGCTTGTGTGAAACGCAGCATGACCGTTACCGTGATCATTTGCTACTTAAGAATGCATTCGTTTTTGTTTTTACTTCTTTTAGAATATACTTTTCGTTATCAAAAAAAAATAAGAAAATAAATATATATTACATTAAATAATATACTGAGTATTTTTTTTTTATCATGCGAACATTTTTTTTTTTATGGAGTTTTTTTATTTTTTTATTTTAATTTCCCCAATGGCTAAATGTACAGTCACTCTGCCAGAATCGAACATGCCAGTAGTCAAACGCAATCGACGGTGTCAGACGGCTGTCTCTCAGTTGTGACCTATACCGGTGCTAGCGAATTAGTCTATTCAAGAGATTGTAGTACAGTACCGTAATCTGCAAATGCATACAAATCTATTTTAGATATTATTTATTGTGCAGTATGTTTGTTATACAGTGTGAAATTAGTTTGTGTACAAGTTTTTCTGTGTGTAAAAATCCGAAAGTGCCCTTAGAACCGCAACAAAGTTGCAATCGAGTGCTGTGCATCTCATTAGCATATCATTATCCCTTCTGTTGTCCTACTGTTACCGAAGTGAATGCTCTAATTGAAGCCGTACCAAGACTTCACGCATCTGAATTCGTCCATTGAAAAAATTTATTTTAATTAAAGCCGCGGCCTAAATTCAGAATTTTACCGTAATACTTTAACTTCCTCGACACAGTGCTTGCAGAGACACCAAGTACGGGCGCATGAGGTCTGTGCGATTGCCAACTCACTAGTGCTAGCGTCAGGTGCCCCCCTCAAGCATACACGGAGGGCAGGCTTCTGGAGAACGCAGAACGTCTTTATCAACTACCACCTAACAGACACCAAATTCATTGAGGAAGGTCTCTTTAGGTTGGGTCCCGTTGTAGCGGGTCAGTCTTGGTTTGCTGACCCAGTCCCAACGACCACAAAAGTCCCTGCGCATAGGCAATAAGTCAGTCTCGGCATTTTATGCGGACAGATTTTGGAAAAACCCGCCACCTATCAGCGTCTGACTCTGCCTACAGTTCAAAATAGTCATTTTGACTGACC